CGATTGGTCATCGTTTGACCACATTTTTGTCTTATTTTCCCAATTTTAAGGAGTATAAAGAATTTTCCGGCGCAAAACTATTTTCCTGGAAAATAGTTTTTAAAAATGGGAAATGACGAACATTAATTATATTAAATAAATTACATTAATTAAACTAATTTAATTAATTTAATTGATTACACTAATTAAAATTAAACCCACAAAATTATACGACTATGATTAAATGTAAAATAAATATTTGCAATAATTTAAATCTAGAGCCAAATTGAAGTTTACATTAAAAATTAATTATTAATAATTACAGAAATATAAAGTGGTATTAAATTACTGATGAATGAAAACATAATTAACTTCTCGATGGAAGTCATAATGAAAAACAGTGTTTGAAAACAAGACATGCGATTCTCACTCATATATGCATTGGTTTTAACGATATTATGCCTGCAGTTAACCGATGGCCAGAAGCCGACACCGAAGCCCAAGAAGGCCGGACCCCCCGGAGGACCCATTAAGAAGAGGTCCTTCAGTGATGGCGAAGACAAGGGTATAATTATGACAATGTTTGACGGCTCGGTCTCGTTCTTGGAGAACCTGAGGCGTCAGTACAAGTTTGGATTCAGCAAAGATGACAGGAGGAGAGTAAGTATGGTTTGGTTCGCTATTACCGCAGATATCGGGACCAATACTAGGGTTAAGAGAGCGGCCGATGAGACTGAGATGAAAACCAATGTGGACACCGCTATGGATACAGATCCGGAGGATAAGACACTTCAGGTGGTGGGCGACGGATCCGTATGGGAGATGGTGTGGAAGAATAAGTCCTACGATGGCGGCCGCTCTTATGAACTGATCGCCGAGTATCAGGTAATTGTTTGAATGCCATATGAGATGACATATTAAATAATTTGTTCTGATTGCCGCAAAACAGGTCCTATCTTTCACTTCTTTGTTCCCAATATCTGTGATAATATCTGAACAGTCGGTGCCATTCATTGATAGACCAAACATACAGTGCATCTGTTTTTTATTTTTAGAGACACGAGGAAACAAAAATGAAAAACGATTTTGAAGTAATTGTTTTTTCCATTGATTTATTAATTTTAATTTAATTTCTATTAATTATTAATATTTTTGTTTATTTGTAGGGTATATGCGATCATTGTTTTAACATAAAGTTATGTCCATTTAATAAACCGGTGATTTTGGGTATTCATAGAGACGCCGTACAAACCGGAGAAAACCGAAACTAAACCATCGAAACCTGATCCACAACCCGATGACGAGTCATCAGATGACACAAAATCAGATGACAAACCAAAGCCCAGCCCTACAACGGAATCAAAGCCCGAATCGACTACCGAAGAGGTCTTCGCGCCCGATCCGCACGAATTGGTGAACACAACGCCCCCTCCGATTGTCGACTACCCCACAGATCGGGACAAAAACTATCCCTCAAACAAAGACGGCACCTATGGCTTCGTGGTTCAGCTCACGTACGGACCCAATCCTGAATTGATCCGACTTCGAGGCAAAGAAGTGTGACATTCATTGTGAAACTGTTTAATGTTTTCATATAATGAACTCATCTCTTTGTATACGTGTTTTATTAGATGTATTACTTTAACAAAGTTGGTAACAATATTGTCTTCACCAATGATATGATGCCCGTCAAGAATAATCGCATGAAACTGCCTCCGGATATCACTTCTGCCTTTAGAGGTATCCAAACCTCTCTCTCTCTCTCTCTC